TCGGGTCAGGGTCTCGTGTTGCCGGTTTCTGTCCCTCGACTGGTGCTTAAAGTTCTGCCCGATGTTTAGGTCAGGGTTGCTGAGCGGGTTGGGTCTCTGGGAGGCTTGCTGCTTGGCGAATCTGAACTTGCAGTTGCTGCTCCCAGTTTTGTGCGCCCTTGCGCAGATGATGCAGAGTGGGGCGCAGGTTGTTGGTTGTCCCTCCTGTGGTGGTGGGTGCTCTTCTCCACACCTGAAGCAGAGGTTTCGTCTTTTTTGTGGGCAGGCGTCTTGTCTGTGCCCTGTCTTGCGGCAGTTGAAGCAGGCCTCCACTCGGTTGAGAAGGAGGACCACTTTATGTCTTGTGCCGGGGTATCTGAGGAGCCGGGGGAGCTCCGTTCCGGCTACCGTAATCATGATGTGGTTAGTTTTCCCGTAACGTCTTGCCGACGTGACGATCCAGTCGGGGTTGTAGGAGTTGTAGTTCTGGACTAACTGCTCGTCTGTTTCGCCACAATACTCGTTGTGGATCAGCCCTTTTACCGAAAGATCGGGGGCAGGCGCGTACGCTTTGATGGGGCATTTCCTTCCTTCAATCACGAACTCTTGTAGGTTGAGGTACGCGTTCGCACGTTTCTCACTGGGCGTGCTGATTGTGAAAGTACGGTTGACCGGGTGTTTCTGTAGAATATCTTCTGAATGGGTGTTGCCGTCGGTAATGTTGGCAGCTAGGCGAAGCGCTTCGAGCAATAGCGCTCCGCCATGTGCAGGAAGGTCTAGGGCAGACTGTGGCCTAATGACAATCTTGTAATGATCTGCCGGCAGTCTCGGGATCGGGGGTCTTCTTCTAGGGGGAGGCCTAGACCTCTTAGCGGTAGAGTCGAAGGGCTTGCCTTTGTTGTTCATGCATTCATGGCTGCCGGTGGTAGCTGCGGCTTCGTATCCCATGCCGGGTGCAGCGACGACGGCACTGCCTGACGCCGAGCCTTCGTCTTCTTTGCTGGCACCGGGGCGGCGGAATCGTTTCTGGTTCTTGACTGCCGTGGAAATCCACGTTCCATCGTTCAATTCTCTGTCAGTGATCGGTTCACCTTCAACGGTGATTTCCATGTTGCATGCGTATCAGCTCCTTCTATGGAGCCGACGTCGTTGGGGGAGCGGCGGCCTTGCGACCGTACTCGGGCTAGGCTTATTAGGCCTAACGCCAGAAAAATTTGGACGACACAAAAAACGCTAAAGAATAGGTCTTCGGGCACTTGCGCGCACACAACAGTAGTCGTCGGGGTCCGGGCGAGATCTTGATGGCGTTGGTAATGGTTTGGGCAACCAGTATCAAGAACAGAGCGCAAACTCCAGCGAAGAGCATCGAAAAACGCCCTTTCGATAACGGCGCCTTCTTCTTTTTTTCATGCTGACCAAGGTTCCTTTTGATTCTGCAAACTATTTATCTATGCGTCCTCTTCTCTCTTCTGAGAAGTGTTCCGTAGTCGGGGACTCAAACCAGGTGGCGTGCCAGGAGTGGAGTCGGAGCATCTTCTGCCGCAGGTCCTTAGGTAGGGATTTCCTGAGTCATTGTTTGCTGGCATCCAATGCCCGCTGCTAACCGTCTCTCTCACCTTAGCGTACAGAGTACACCCAGCCGGCAAAGCTGAGTCACATTCCGTTGCAGCACGAGCCTGGCGGTGGTTGACTTGAAATAGTAGGAAGACTCACGCTATGAAGTTCAACACATCTTCGAATGCATATGCGGCTGCGCCCGTAACATTGCACGGCTTGAGGATACCTCATCAGCCGACGTGAATATGACCCGCTGCTCTGGTGATCCGAAACCCAGAAGGAGGCCAGAAGCGGCCTCGCTGTGCCATCCCAGACAACGTACTCCCGCGACTCGTATCGAGACCGCTGTTTCTCGGACAGCTCGCGCCTGTGCTGGCAATATCAGCTGACAATCCACGAGGTCTCTGTTTGGATAATGCTAGGCAAAACTTGAGGACTGCAATCCGTGCGTCGGTGGCGGAAAGTCGGCAGTAAGGACCTTCAGAACAGGGATGCTACCGTATCGTTTCTTCAACCATAACAGAAGATAAGACATGTATTCCAAGATGCTTCAGGTGGTCCACTATTCTCGAAAATTCCAAATGACACTGCATGCACAATCTTCAACTAGGTAACCTACAACGAAATTACCTATTGTCCTTTCATACAGCAGCGTAGTAAAGTTTCATGTTCAAAGCCACACCTACAGATAAAGAATACTAGTTCATTCACAGTGACATCATGTGATCAATGTTGACAGGCCTCCCTCATCAGACAGACACGATGTCATGGAAGGGACCGCGGTCAGCCCTTGATGGAACGTTTTTTTTGGGCCCATTGAAGACTTCTTTCCGTCCGAAACCACTACCTTTAAGGCAAAGTGCCAAGCCTAAAGGAAAGTAATTTCGGGATCGAAAACATCCACTTCAAACTTCAAGCTTCATCTCAGTTGGTGTCTCAAACAAATCTGGAAAATGTATTGCACTATCAGTATTTCTGTATCTGTATTTCTGCCCTCCCTAAAATGTATTCCTGTATTTATATTTCCAAATACTTTTTGCCTCTTTTTAAAATGTATTCCCGATACGTATCGCGATACATTGGACATCTGGGGGCTAAGCTCGGCTCGCAGAGATCAAGGCAAGTTCTCCGCCGAACTGGCCGCTCGCCGCGATTGGTAGGCGCCGTGCATGACGACACGCGCCGCCACTCCCTAGATCGTGACGTCAGAACGGAGGGTTTGAGGCGGTCTGAGAGTGGCATATTCGGAACTTGCGGCGAGATGCTGTGACGTCATCGTGACGTGGCAAAAGCCGCCGCGGATAGGAAAAGCTTGCCGGCTCCGACCTAGGCGAGTTTGGGCGAGTTGGGCACGAGATGGGGGAGACGCGTCCAAAATGGCAGCGTTTTTGTGCGTGTTTCGCCGTCGGCGTAGGTACTTAACCCACGCCACCGTGTTTGACATAGACGACGTTGATTTTCAACATCACAATCGCCTCTCGAAATACGTGGTAAGCTGGCTGTGCGATGAACTGTGTGGCAGACCGGGCTTGGGGCGATGGAGCCGTGAATGAACCGTCGTCCCCGTCGTAAAACCTACAAACAAATTCTACAAAGTGAATCCTAGAATCAAATGTGTTTTTACGGAAATCTGCAACCAGGAACGCAATTTATCATTACCTACAGGTTTTACAATTATTGCGATGGTTTGCTGCGCTGCGGAGATGCAAGAAAAACGCACTTGATAATATTTAAACTAAAACAGATGATAGAAGAAAAGCAATCTACATGAATGGCGCAGACTAACAACTGTGTAATTTTTTTCTCATCTTTCTCCCTCCATGGAGGGAGAAAGACTTTTTCGTCAAAATACGCTTTGCAAAGCGTATTTTGAGGAACAAATCCGTCGTTAGTTGTTTATACGGCAGACCATGCCAGACATGGCGACGTAGATGAGCAATGTAGCCAGTGCGGTACAACCGCTAACCTGAGGTCTTTAACGTGCACCACGCAGTAGTAATACACGACTGCACGCCCGTGCGATGCCCATTAAAATTGACACGGGTAGGGGTGGGGATTAAACCAAGGATTCCTGGGTTATAGAGCTCGAGCTTTCGCTTTAGGTACACCCTTTTCTGAAAAACATGTTGTGGCTGTGTGGCGACGTGGGTGGCGAAATATGAGAAAGAAATTACGCAGTTGTTAGTCTGCGTCATTCCTGTATGTTGTTTTTCACCTATTCTCTGCTTTAGTTTAAATCTTTATCAAGTACGTTTTTCTTGCATCTACGCAGCGCAGCAAACCATCACAATGTCTAACCACCTAACCCCATCCAAGTAATATTTGTATAATTAGGATCCGTGCTGTTACCGATTCTTATTTGCCACGATTTAAGTAAACAAATTGGGTTCTTCGCATGTTTTTACAGCCTAAAATTTGGTCTGCCTCAACTGGCAACTTGTTTCTCAGCTGTAGATGAGCAATTTAGCCAGTGCAGTACAACCGCTAGCCTGGGGTCTTTGACGTGCACCACGACCGCACGCCGGTGCGATGATCATCAAGATCCAAAGGGGCAGGGGTGAGGAATGAACCCAGGAGCGGAGCGTAGGGACAAATCGGAGCTACGCTGGGGAACTCGCCGCCGCCGGGGGGGTCGGAAATGTAAGAGGAGGAGTGGGAAGCTCGCCGGGGCGGAGTCGAAAGAAGCTCCTCCCCTCACCCATTATGTCGCATCGGAGAGATTCCGGCCGAAGGCGAGCTTAACCCCCCTGTATCGGTTGCTGTTGCCCCGTCACCTGCAGTTTTTAGAGCAAGGGGCCCGGTCACCGTTGTCACTTCCTTTAGAAAAAGGTCTGTTGGGACCAGGCTCGTAGCCAGGATTTTGTTTCGGGGGCAGCCCGCCCATGACAAAATGCTGTATGAGGGGGAGGGGGGAGAGGAGGTCCAAGCAAAATGAAAGATTTCGGAGGGGAGGGGGGAAACCCGGGCCCCATGACCCCCCCCCCTGGATACGTGCCTGATTGGGACGCCCCCTGCTTTTGTGTGCTATCAATACCCGACCGAGAATACATATCGAGAATACAGCCTCCGAGGGGCTGCATTCTCGATCCGCCGACGCGTGGACCCAGATGCCGATTCGAAGCAGAATGGGATGGAAGGTTTAATGCGCTAGCAAGGTGCGAACTGTTTCCTAGCAAGACGCGAACGCCAAGAGCCAGTGTTCGCGTCGGACTGCTCCGATCGACTTCCGTCGTAGAGACTTGTCCGTTTTGAGTGAGGTATAAAAATCGCGCGCTTTAAAGCTACAGCCCAAGCTCCTCGTGTCAATATCACTGCTGCAAAACACGACTTGTTGGAACCCTCCATTGATAGCATCAAGGTGGAAGAACGGCATCCGACGAAACACGTACGTAGGATAAAAGTATCGCATTATGTATATAACTTTTTTTTTACTTGTTTAAGAGTTTAGTTTGAGGTTTAATTACTTTCTAGTCTGGAACAGGTCTTTCATTTTTTGGCTCTCTGACTGAATATCAGTCCAATCCACTTTGGTTTTGTACTGTTTTTCAAAAAGAACGACGAACTTTTCCAATGCAGTCGTTAGATTGAAGACCTTCGTTTCGTGTTCTGCAGAGATAGAAAGAGAGAAGCAAATGAAGCAAGTGCGTCAAAGTGTCCAAGTTTATATACGTAACAATTATCTGCAACAATACTTAAAAAAGAAGCTAGCTGGGCTCGTTTGCTCGAAGCCGGTTAACTTTAACCGCGGTTAAAAGTTAACCGCCCTTCCCTACTAGATACCTAAAAGTACCTAGCCACGTTTGACGAGGGCTGGATGAGGGATAGCTCCGTGTTTTATTATGGGTTGGTAGCTGGTGTCACCTACTGGCTGTAGCGAATATGAGTGGCTTCCGTGGAAAGGTTCCCGATGGGGGGACTCAAAAATGCGCGCGGCCGTGTTTTCGCGACGCAACGCGGCATACATTCGAGCTCAAGAAACAATTTGTATTGCTCGTGGTACAGACAATCGGTAAGGTAAAACTAAATTAACCCTTCTTTGGAAAATTTCTAGATATTTGGCTGCCTGAAGTGAAGACAAGCCTCGTTGAAATTTTCTTCCAAGTTTGAAAGTGGACAACGAAGTTCGGTCCTAGAAACGAAAAAGAAGGGAGCAGTGAAAGGCGGGCGGTACACCGGCAGCATGGTTGGCCGTTATGTAAGAACTATATAACACCGCCATAAATTGGAAAAACCTTCAATTCGGTTCCAGTGCAAATTCACCTATTAGTAAATTACCGGAGCATCGAGGAGTACACTGAAAGTGTAATTCTACGATTCGCGCGCGCTGGCCTCCCATTAACAAAAAAAAAAAAAAAAAAAAAAAAAAAAACCGAAGTAAGTAATTATAATAAATCCTTGGCGAACGCGCCTGCACGGAAATATTTGTTTTAGGCTTTTTGCTTTAGAACAGTTACTACTGCAGACGCCAGCACGTGCAGCGCGTGTAACTACACTCGTAGCATGCACCTCGGTGCTTGTGTGTGCTTTTGTGTGCTATCATTACCCGGCCGATTGAGTCAAGGCAATCCACTTTTCAAAGACGTTGGCATGCCGACAACTATCGCGTTCATTTAGGCTGAGGGATGGCCACAATCGAAAGACTATCTAAAAATTAAGGCGACGTTATTGCTCATGCTTTGAGTTTTAAGTGAGGTAAGGCAGAGCGAAAGCCTCCTGCACCATTCATTGCTGACAAACGCGCCCGATATTCCAGCTACTACGATGTATTAGTTCCAAAGCGAGCGGCGCTCACTCACAGGGGCACCGCCATGTTTCCCTGCCGTCCTTACTCTGCCGGATATAAAAATGAAATAGCACAAAGGTTAGACAAAGGACAAAGGACAGAACATGTAGACAGTACAAGCGCTAACCCAGAACTGGCGTTTTAATATAAAAGAAGAGAAGGAAGCAGCGAAAAAAGGAAGAAAGAAGATTTATAATAAATAGAGAAAATTGAAAGGTATATACAAAAAGGAAGAAAAGAAAAGAAACGGAAGAAAGAGAAAAAAGAAAAAAAAAAGAAAGGGACCTGCGTAACGAAATTAATTCCGGGGAATATATTGAAATTAAGAAAAAGACTACAGCTTAAAGAAAGAAGTTGAAAAGACTAGAAATTCCCGCTGAATCAACCTCAAGTTGGCAAACGAAGGTAAACTAACCGCCGAATTCCAGAAACCTCACTCAAACTACACTCAAACTGAAGGGCCCCTCCACTTCCTCGAGGAAGGCGCGAGGGCCGGCGCTGGCTAATCCCGACGGCGGATCCGTCCTCGCGATTGGCCACCGTCGGCCCTTGTGCCTTCCTCGAGGAAGTGGAGGGGCCCTTCAGTTTGAGTGTAGTTTGAGTGAGGTTTCTGGAATTCGGCGGTAATTCTTTTTCAGTTAATGCCACCGATTGTGCACTCACACAGGCGTCCTGTTTTTCCTTGATGGTTAAAGCCTCGTATATTTCTCTTGATGTTTTATCTCGAAACCGTCGTAGGATTTTCGTTTTTGTCAGGATGGGTTGGCATTTACAGTCTCTAACATGCACTGCGAGATGCGCCACTGGAGTTGATTTGAGTGAGGTTGCGTGTTCCCGCAACCTGGTGTTTACGCAGCGGCCTGTCTGACCGACGTATATCTTGCCACAAGTGAATGGTATTTCATAAATTACCTGGCTTTGGCAAGGTACATAAAATTGCTTGTGTTTGACGGTGCACTGAATTTGTCGATCTTGAGGATTATTTATCTTTGGACACAGCTTCTTGAGCTTGTTTTGTGCAGACAATATGACAGGGATGTTATATCTAGACGCCACCTTTTTCATGGTATGCGACACCTGGTGAATATAGGGTATCACTGCATGACGCTGCCTTGGGGGTTTAGTTTTTTCTTTTCCCTTTCGAGAGCTAATCATTCTTTCAACTGCCTCACACAAGATGATACTTGGATAGCCAGAAGTCGCAATCCGTTGTAATTGGTCTTCAAAGCTCTGTCTCGCCTTGTGTTCGCACGACTTCTTGAGGGCTCCATTGAAACACTTGTTGATGATTGCCGTTTTTATGAGCTTTGAATGCGAAGACTCATATTGGAGTAATCTTTTCTTCGACCTTGGCTTATACATTCAGCACGTGTGGTTTTCTTGGAATTTTAGTTGTAGATTGAGAAATTGTAGGGAGATGTCTGTAGGTAGCTCGTATGTAAATTTTAGCCCTTGAGCATTTTGCGCAAAGATTGCTCGGATGTTGTTGATTTGCGTCTCGTCATTTTCACCTTGTTTATTGCTTAGAAGCACGAGATAGTTATCAACGTACCTGTACATTTTTGGAACCTGGTCGTTGGTTATTTGCTGAGCGATGGCTCGATCGCACTGGGACAAGAAGATGTCGCATAGCACAGGAGCTACGCACGAACCGATGCAGATTCCTTTCTTTTGCATGTAGTTATTCTTGTTGAAAGTGACGACTGTGGATGCAAGGTAGTATGTCAACAGCTCCAAGAATGAATCCATATTCAAGCCAGAATTGTTTTGGAAACAGACGGTACCATTTTGCTCAATACAATCTCTTACGGCTTCGAACAGACGGTCATGAGGTATGGAATAGAACAAATTTTCCACGTCAAGGGAGAAACCATATCTCACTTGTTGGTTGTCATTTTTTAGAAAACGTATAACTTCTTCTGAATTAGAGATCAGAAAAGGATCTTCAAGTTGAAGAGCCGATAAGTGATTAAAAATGAACCGCGAGATTGCTCCTTGCCATGAACCTTTTTCTGTTACGACGACTGGGAATGGATATTCTATTTTGTGCGTCTTTGCCGTGAAAGACATATCCAAAACATTCTTTTTTGGCAGTAGTTATCTGCTTTTTCAGGTTAGTCAGAACATGTCTGGAGCACATTGGAAGTACTTTAGCTTTTACTTTTTTTTATGTTACTGTCTTGCGACTTTTTAAAGTTTTTCTGGATGGCTACTCCTGCCTTTTTCATGTAGGTGGTGTTAGAACGCACTACAAATCCTCCTTCTTTATCAGAAACTGGAAGGTTTAAATTGTGTTGGCATTTACAGTCTCTAACATGTACTGGCTTCAATAATGAATCAAGATACCGGTCCTTCCTCTACAATGCACAAAGGATGACGGAATCACTCTGGAGGACCTATATACCACACCTACGAACGCTTCGGGCTAAACACAAGGAACATCAAGCTGAGTCCATCAGACTACTGGACACTCCCTTCCTCTCCTCAGGAATCGTTAAATTCCTTGAGAAAGGCCCCTAATTTTGTACGGCGCCGAACTTACAAGGCGTACAAATGTTATCGACTATACGCAACATCACGGGAAAGGCCCCAGATAATGACAGAAGCAGATGTGTAGATGATTGTGTTGATGTATTGTTGAAAGTCAAACAGGCTGAGGTCAAGATAAAAAATATTAAAGTGGAAAATTATGTTAAACAACACAATTTAAACCTTCTAGTTTCTGATAAAGAAGGAGGATTAGTAGTGCGTTCTAACACCACCTACATGAAAAAGGCAGGAGTAGCCATCCAGAAAAACTTTAAAAAGTCGCAAGACAGTAACATAAAAAAAAGTAAAAGCTAAAGTACTTCCAATGTGCTCCAGACATGTTCTGACTAACCTGAAAAAGCAGATAACTACTGCCAAAAAAGAATGTTTTGGATATGTCTTTCACGGCAAAGACGCACAAAATAGAATGTCCATTCCCAGTCGTCGTAACAGAAAAAGGTTCATGGCAAGGAGCAATCTCGCGGTTCATTTTTAATCACTTATCGGCTCTTCAACTTGAAGATCCTTTTCTGATCTCTAATTCAGAAGAAGTTATACGTTTTCTAAAAAATGACAACCAACAAGTGGGATATGGTTTCTCCCTTGACGTGGAAAATTTGTTCTATTCCATACCTCATGACCGTCTGTTCGAAGCCGTAAGAGATTGTATTGAGCAAAAGGGTACCGTCTGTTTCCAAAACAATTCTGGCTTGAATATGGATTCATTCTTGGAGCTGTTGACATACTACCTTGCATCCACAGTCGTCACTTTCAACAAGAATAACTACATGCAAAAGAAAGGAATCTGCATCGGTTCGTGCGTAGCTCCTGTGCTATGCGACATCTTCTTGTCCCAGTGCGATCGAGCCATCGCTCAGCAAATAACCAACGACCAGGTTCCAAAAATGTACAGGTACGTTGATAACTATCTCGTGCTTCTAAGCAATAAACAAGGTGAAAATGACGAGACGCAAATCAACAACATCCGAGCAATCTTTGCGCAAAATGCTCAAGGGCTAAAATTTACATACGAGCTACCTACAGATATCTCCCTACAATTTCTCAATCTACAACTAAAATTCCAAGAAAACCACACGTGCTGGAAGTATAAGCCAAGGTCGAAGAAAAGATGACTCCAATATGAGTCTTGGCATTCAAAGCTCATAAAAACGGCAATCATCAACAACTGTTTAGATGCAGCCCTCAAGAAGTCGTGCGAACAAAAGGCGGGACAGAGCTTTGAAGACCAATTACAACGGATTGCGACTTCTAGCTATCCAAGTACCATCTTGTG